TTTCTATTTCTAGATCCTTGAGGAATCAGGTATTTCTTTATAGCAATGCAAGAATGGCCTAGTACAGTTGGTTTTTGGTGGGCAGGAAGGAATGTTTTACACGACAGCTTCATTTCCAAGTACAACAGTCCCTGATTATCTGCAGTTTCACTGTCCATGGTTTTAGCTTACCCTTGGTACAGTGCAACAAAGCATTTTGAGAGAGAAAGAGACCATGCTCACATAACTTTTATTATAGTATGCTGTTAGAATTATTCCTATTTCATTATTAGCTATTGTTAATTTCTTACTGAGCCTAACTTATAAAGTAAACTTGATCATAGGTATGTAGAGAAAAAACAGTATGTCTAGGGTTCAGTAGTATTTAAGGTTTCAGGAATCTACTGGGGTCTTGAGACAAATCCCCCATAGATAAGGGAGGTTGCTACAGCTTCAGAGCAGACACTTCTTATGTGTCAATCCAGTGCAAAATAACCCCTTTCCTCTGAGGTCTGTCCCCACACACCCACTAGCTGAGTGCCTGGCAGCCCTTCTATATTAAGAGACCCATGTCCTTAACCCAGCTGTCTCTTGGGGACTGTGGAACTGTGATCTCTGTGTATGGCTGAAACTACAGTGATATAATCTTGGAAGAAAAGAATAAAGCAGATGAGGCCTAGGAATTCCTGAGAGCTTCTTGTTCCCTGGGTCTTGGCCCTCAGGAATCCAGATATCCTTCCCCAGCATCCTTCTAGTAACTCCCTTTTTTAAGTAAAATAAGTCCAAATGGTTTCTATTTGAACACTGACTAAGAAAGACTGCATTTGGGCTGGACATGGTGGCTCACACCTGTAACCCCCGCACTTTGGAAGGCCAAGGCAGGTAGATCACAAGGTCAGGAGATCAAGACCATGTGGTGGCACACGCCTGTAGTCCCAGCTACTCAGGAGGCTGAGGCAGGACAATTACTTGAACCTGGGAGACGGAGGTTGCAGTGAGCTGCGATCACACTACAGCACTCCAGCCTGGGTGACAGAGCAAGACTCCATCTCGAAAAGAAAATAAAAGAAAGACTACATTTGTGCCAATATATTAAGTGATTCATTTTGTAAGGACTATTTCGTGTACAATGCAAATAAAGAAAAAAGGCTCAATCATTAATAGAAGAGTGTTTAACAATTTTAAAAGGCATAAATATAGCACCTATTCCTTTACCCTCACTCCCCAAATAAATAACCCAGTGCTGGTATATTAGTCTTTATAATAACATTGTCACATGGCAGGAGACATATTTCTTTCTCCCCACCACCACCTGTTAAGAAGACTGAGACTGAGGAAGGGAAAGCATTAGGAAAAATAGCTATTGGATGCTGGGCTCAATACCTAGGTGATGCGATGATCTGTGCAGCAAACCACCATGGCACACATTTCTCTATGTAACAAACCTGCACATCCTGCACATGCACCCCAGAATTTAAAATAAAAAATTAAATTAGGCCAGGCATGGTGGCTTACACCTGTAATCAATCCCAGCACTTTGGGAGGCTGAGTCAGGCAGATCACTTGAGGTCAGTTCGAGATCAGCCTGGCCAACTTGGTGAAACCCTGTCTCTATCAAAAATACAAAAATTAGCCAGGCGCGGTGGTGGGCACCTGTAATCTCAGCTGCTCGGGAGGCTGAAGTAAGAGAATCACTTGAACCCAGGAGGCAGAGGTTGCAGTGGGCCAAGATTGCACCACTGAATTCCAGCCTGGGTGACAGAGCAAGAAAAAA